GTGGGGTGCGCGTTTGGGGGGGGTCCCAGGGCTGGGGGCGAGGCTTCCAGAAGGGGCGTGGCCCAACTAAAGGGCGTGGTCCCCCAGGGAGGGGGGCACAGAATTGGGCGTGTAGCTCCTCCAGGGGGTGTGGCTTGTGGCGGAGCTGTGGGGTTGTGGTCTGTCTGGGTGTGGCTCCTTGTGGGTGTGGCCTATGATGGAGGGGGTGTGGCTTATCCACAGCAAGTGCAGGAGCCCCCGGGGTCCCCCTGGTCACCCCCTCACCCTCCTCAGGTCCCATCAGAGTCCCATCCCGACCTCCAGCACCCATCAGGGTCCCATCCTGACCCCCAGCACCCATCAGGGTCCTGTCCCCCCCAGCACCCGCCTGTCCCTGCCCTGTCCCTCCCTCATGTCTGGTGCTGGCCATGAAGCCAGTGACCTCAGATTTGGACTCGTTTGGGCTGTGGGTGACATCTGTGTGGGGCCATGAGGGGCTGCAGGGCCATGGTCATGCTGGGGACAGGGACACGGGCATGGACATGCCAGTGACAGGGACACGCCAGGGACATGGGCATGGACATGGTGGGAACAAGGACATGCCAGGGACATGGGCATGGCAGGGACATGGTGGGGACAAGGACACGCCAGGGACATGGCAGGGACATGGTGGGGACAAGGACACACCAGGGACGTGGGCATGGACATGTGCTGGACAAAGATAGGGACCCACATTGGACATGGTCTTGGTCACACCAGGGACAAGGACATGGACATGTGCGGACAAGCACACAGAAGGGACAAGGACATGGACACACCAGGGACAAAAACACACCAGGGACAAGGGCAAGGACATGGACATATGGTGGATAAGGACACAGAAAGGACAAGGACATGGACAAGGACACGGACACACCAGGGCCATGGGACACACCAGGGCCAAGAACATGTCCCTTGGGACAAGGCCATGGACCCTCAAGGGACAAGGCCACGCCAGGGCCAGGGTTGGGGTCCTCCAGCTCCTGGGGGGAATATTTGGGGGGGGGGCCAAGAGCCATGTTGAGGGGACAAAAGGCAGGTGGGTCCCATCCCCAAGTCCCAGGAGGCCCCTGTGTCACCTCCTGCTGTGGCCTCCCAGTGGCAGCAGGGACACGGGCACCCACGGTGCTGACCCCTGAGGTGGTCCCACAGCAGCACCCTGGGGTGACCCTACAATAACAACCCCTCCCCTGAGGAACCCTACAAAAACACCCCCAGTGTGGTCCTGGGACCCCCCCAGAAGGTTCCAACAGTGACATCCCGGGGCCACCCGGCACCTCCTCCTGGGGTAACCCAGAGGTGACCCCCCAAGGTGATGTCCCCACCATCGTCCCCACTCCCACCACAGCCCCCCCACCCCATACCTTGCCCCTCACAGCAACAGCCGGGCTCCTGGGGACACAGCCCCGTGTCCCATCCTGCTGTCCCATCCTGCTGTCCCATCCCAGTGTAACAGCCCAATGTCCCCATCCTGGTGTGCCATCTTGATGTCCCCATCTTAGGTTCCATCCCATCCTGGTCCCATCCTGGTGTCCCAGCCTGATGTCCTCATCCTGGTGTCACATTCCAGTGTCCCAGCCTGATGTCCCAAACCTGTTTTCCATCCTAGTGTGCCAACCCTGGTGTCTCATCCCAATGTCCCATCCCAATGTCCCCATCTCAAGCCCCACTCCAGTGTCCCAGATGTCCTAAACCCATTTCCCATCCTAATGTCCCCATCTTGGTGTCCCATCCAAGCGTCCCAGCCTGACATCCCAACATGGTGTCCCCATCCCATTGTCCCCTCCCACTCTTCCCATCTCAGGTCCCATCCAAGTGCCACATCATGCTGTGCCACTGTGTTGTCCCATCCCAGTGTAACAGCCCAATGTCCCCATCCCAGTGTGCCATCTTGATGTCCCCATCTTAGGATCCATCCCATCCTGGTGTCCCAGCCCGATGTCCTTATCCTGGTGTCCCATTCCAGTGTCCCAGCCCAATGTCCCAAACCTGTTTTCCATCCTAGTGTCCCCATCCCAGTGTCCCAGCCTGATGTCTCCATCCTGCTATCCCATCTCAATGTCCCCATCCTGATGCCCCATCCCAATGTCCCTATCCTGGTGTCCCACTCCAATGTCCCCATCCTCATGTCCCAGCCCAGTGCTCCATCCTGATGTCCCCATCCCAGGGCCCATCCGAGTGCCACAGCATGCTGTGCCACTATGTTGTTCCATCCCAATGTTCCCATTTCAGGTCTCATCCTGGTGCCCCATCCCAGTATCCCAGACCAATGTCCCAAACCCATTTCCCATCCCAGTGTCCCATCCTGACATCCCAATGTGGTGTCCCCATCCCCGTGTCCCACCCCACTGTCCCCATCTCAGGTCCTGTCCAAGTGCCACATCACGCTGTGCCACTATCCTGTCCCATCCCAGTGCCCCACACCGATACAGCCCAGCCCACTCCCACCACTGTCCCAGGGCCCCCCAAGGCTCCCAGTGCCCCCCTCGCTGTCCCCAGGGGTGGGGGGACACCCCGAGGCCCCCCCCAGACACCCCTCATAGCGTTGCATATTTTTATTGGATTGAAGTTACAGAGCTGGGAGGGGGGGCACGGGGCCGGGGCGGGGGGGGAATAAAAATAAAAAATAAATTAACCCGCGGCCCCCGCCCCCCCAAGGGGCACCAATCCTGCTCTGGGGCTGGGGCAGGGGGGGGCAGAGGGCACAGGACCCCCCCCAGCCTGTCCATCTGTCCTGGGGGGGCTGCGGGGGGTATGTACAGACTGACACCGTCCATCCATGCCAGGGTGAGGGGGGGGCTGCGTGGCACCATGCCCCCCCCTTCCTTGGTGGGCCCTGGCATGTTCCTTGTGCCCCTGGCACGGGCAGCAGCTGCCTGCCTGGGGAAGGGCCGGGGGGGGTCGTCCCGCTGCCCCCCCCCGGGCTCAGTCCTCGGTGATGCCCTTGGCCCGCAGCTCCTCCTGCACCCGGGCGAGGTACGTGGGGTCGGGGTACCCGAACCTTGGGGGGAGGGTGTCAAGTCAGTGTGGTGTGTCCCCCCACGGCTGGGGGCTCCCCCTTGGCAGCTTTCCCCCCAGCCGTGCCAGGTGTGATGCCCTCCCCCCCCTAACCTGTCCCTGGGGTG